GTTTCAGAGCTTAGAAGCCATCTGTGTTTTGTTTCAGAGATCTCTTCATCTTGTACAGAAGCCCTGTCTTTAAATATCTTATGGATAGCAGTGTTTTCCTCAGGCAAAACAGCATCCTTCTGCATGTCTGCGGCTCTCACTTCATCTTTTTCATCTTTCCATAATGCTTTTGAGCCAGCCTCACTATTTCCACTGTGTTGCCTACATATACTATGGGCACACTGTGCCCACTGCTCTGAATCTGTAGGTTGGGAACAGTGGGAGATTCATTCTCATTTATTTAATAGAATGAAGAAAGCAGAATTCGTTATTAGAGTAGCTTCACTTCAGTGAGTGAATAGGGTTAACACACCAATAAAGACCATTCCACTTCTATTTTCCTCCAAAAAATGGTCTCATTTGCCAAAGAGAAGAGAAATGCAGACAAAAAAAAAAATCACCCTGGTTGCTTAGCTATTATTTCTAAAAAAATCATCAGAAAACTTCAGAAGGCTTTATCCAAATTAAATAAAAGACAAATGTTTAAAAGAACAGGATATATCACAAAAGATTCCTTTTTTTAATAGAAATTTTCTATATAGTCTATAATTCTGTCACCAAAATAAATTATACTGCTTTATGGACTACACTGTTGCTCACATAGAAATGTGCCTATCCTGTAAGAGCAGAGGAGAACAATCCCACTTTAACTATGGAATTACAAACTAAATCTCCAAAAGACAGTACATACACTCCTCTAAAGTACAGACATTATTCCTTAAAACTTGAATTTGGCAAATCACTTACCCATTCCCACTTCCTTCCAGAACAAGCATTGGTATTTCAAAACCCATGTCATATCTGAATTATAAAAAGGCCTGAGAGGGCATAACCAAAGTTATGTGAATCAAGGTACCAGTGCCAGGTGCCTGCATCCTTGTCCAAAACGCATCTGGAAACACGGTGGGATACACAAGCCTGCATTTTCCTGCTTGAATATTTCACCACAGCCTTCAAAAACAGCAGTAAAGCTCTGCAGGACTGACGCAGTGCATTTAACATGGTACCTTCTTGGGTAATTTTGGGGTAACTTCTGGTATTTTGGGGATACTTTTGTTTCAATCTGCGCACCTGGGTTGTGACTACCCAAATACTTTCCCTTCCTTGTAGAAAAGTGCAGAAAACTCTCCAGCCTCCCATATGGAGAGCTACACAAGACATGCACCTTGCAGGAAAAAGCAGAAATAACGTAAGCTGCCTGTTTTCATTTACAGTCTAAAGCTTTGAAGTACGTAACAGTGGCTTCCAACTATAACCAGGATTGCCTCTTCATAAATGTCTCTGCATATGCATCCTAAAAACAACTTCCTAATTAAGCCATCCAATCCAGAGTCATTCCAGTCTGAGCATTAATATGATTAAAAGCATGGAAGACATTGCAAAAATCAGCAACTCCCAATTTTTTTTTTTTTTATATAGGAAGATAATCAGGCTGCATTCTCAGTTCTGTCTCCCAAAATGCCTACACTGTCATCTCAAACTGTGTTAAGCGTTTTTCAAAGCACGAAGAACACTGAACTTGTTCTCAGACAGCTGCAACAGGTATTAAGAGCATGAACATCAGATGGAGAAGAGCTACAGCACTGCCTGGGGTTTGCATGGCACAGTTTCCGTAGCAGGGGGCTACAGGGGTGGCTTCTGTGAGAAGCTGCAAGAAGCTTCCCCTACGTCCGACAGCACCAACACCAGCTGGCTCCAAGACAGACCTGCTGGTGGCCAAGGCCAAAAAAAAATGGCGGCAGCACCTCTGGAATAACATAGTTAAGAAGGGGAAGAAGTTACTGTGCAATAGAAACTGCAGCCGGAGAGAGGAGTGAGAATATGTGAGAGAAACAGCTCTGCAGACACCAAGGTCAGGGAAGAAGGAGGGGGAGGAGGTGCTCCAGGTGCCGGAGCAGAGATTCCCTAGAAGCTTGTGGTGAAGACCATGGTGAGGCAGGCTGTCCTTCTGCAGCCCATGGAGGTCCACGGTGGAGCGGATATCCACCTGCACCTATGGAGGACCCCACACCTGAGCAGGTGGATGTCCAAAGGAGGCTGTGACTCTGAGAAGCCCACAGTGGAGCAGGCTCCTGGAAGGAACTTCGGCCCCATGGAGAGAGCAGCCCACGCTGGAGCAGGTTTACTGGCAGGACCCACTGTTCGTGAAGAACTGCAGCCCGTGGGAAGGATTCACGTTGGAGAAGTTCATGCGGGACTGTCTCCTGTGGGAGGGACCCCACACTGGATCAGGAGAAGACTGTGAGGAGTCCTCCCCCTGAGGAGGAAGGAGCAGCAGAAAGAACATGTGATGAACTGACTGCAACCCCCATTCCCCGTCCCCCTGCACCGGTCTGGGGGAGGAGGTAGAGAAATTGGGAGTAAAGTTAAACCTGGGAAGCAGTGAGGGCTGGGGGGAATGTTTTTTAAGATTTAAGTTTTATTTCTCATTATTCTATTCTGATTTAAGTGGAAATAAATTGAATTAATTTTCCCCAAATCGAATCTGTTTTGCCCATGACTAATTCCTGAGCGATCTCTCCCTGCCCTTGTCTCGACCCACGAGCCTTTCATTGTATTTTCTCTCCTCTGTCCAGCTGAGCAGGGCAGTGAGAGCGGCTTTGGTGGGCACCTGATGTCCAGCCAGGGTCAACCCATCACAAGCGTAAAAGTGACTGGTTGCCAGCAGAGATAGAATCATAGAGTGGTTTGGGTTGGAAGGGACCTCAAAGATCATCTAGTTCCAACCCCCCTGCCATGGGCAGGGACACCCTCCACTACACCAGGTTGCCCAAAGCCTCATTCAACCTGGCCTTGAACACTTCCAGGGATGGGGTGTCTACAATGCAGTCGAGATGCTGGAATCTACATCTGCAGTCTAGATGCTGGAATTGTGCTTCCAGTTACTTTCAGCCTACACTAATTGGAAGATAAAACACGCTAAAAGGCAGAACCTCAGAACCTCCTTATACTATTTCCTCGTGATTTCAGTTTTTTACTTCATTTCCAAAAGACTGAAATTGAATAAAATATTCATTTTTTAAAAAGGACCTCACCCCTCTAATGAGGAGTGCAAAGTCAGCTTATTTTAATTCAGTTGCCAAAGACTTCTGAAAAAAAACAACTCAACAAGCATGTGGGTAAGGAAGGGAGGATATCTTTCAGGGAAAGACTAAGCCACTGCTCCTTTTTCCATTAATGCTAGATTTGCTCAAGTTTAGCCAGGGAGCTTTATAGCTCTAGTCTGTAAAATACGTCCCGACACAACTGGCTGAATTCCAACAGTCCCATTAAACACTACCTATATTCAAAAGGATATCCCAAGCAAACAGCAACAGTTGGTTTTAATAACAGCACCAAGAACTTCCCTTGGCCTGTTCATGAGCCAAATTACATAGCAGAACTGATAATCTCAAAAACATTTATGTTTTTACAAGCCTCAGCATGCCTGGAAGCAAAACTAAGGACAATTTCCCAAATATCTCACAGAGAAGCTTTCTGAAAGTATCCCATCACCACTGGATAGAGCTGCAGCAAGGATGGACTAGCATGACAGAGGGAGATTCAGTTCTCCCATGCTGGGACTCTACCTCTGCAGGTGCTCTCCAGCCAGTTTCGTGCAAGAAAAAAAAAGGGAACTCGACTTTTTTTACTGTCTTGTTAAAACATAGTGAACACTTCAGTCAAAGGCAGAGATAACAAGCTTCCTAGGACTTCAGGAAACCAACAGGCATGGAAATGAAGACTCACGCTACCATGAATGTATTATTTTCAGGAGGTGTAAAGGACTAGCATTTCCAAGTCGACAAGCTTCGTGTTTCTTCGCCGCGTTTGTGAAAGTCACTGTCTACTTATTGGCCAAGGCCACTAGGGAGCGTTCACAGCTCCTCTTGTAGGCAAACACCAGCAACCCCCCAGCAGCAGCTCGTTCTAACGAATCTCAAAATCTCTTCAACAACAACAAAAAGGTAGTTTGCTTTCATATACAAAATAACTCGAGTGCTTCCTCCAGAGCAGTAACTACACGTTGAGTAAAAGCCAAAGACTGCAGCTACTGCTGCATTTTTTGCTTGTTCACTATGACTTGGCAAATTACTCTGGAAGGTACTAACTGTCCTGTCACATGCTTCCGTCCCCGTCCCTATGATCACGACGGATACAGCCGTGGTAATTTTGTGCCAACTGCCTCAATGCCACCCCATGCTCCTCTCTGCTACTCGTACCTCAATCTTGTTTCTCCTTTCCTAAGAACGACGTTTTTGCTCACACAAATCATTTACTTAGCAAAGATGCAGGCAGATGCATTCTTATTTTAGCAAGGAATGACGTACCACACAAATTTGATTAAATAAAAGCAAAGCAAACAAAAGATACAGAAAATCATAGAGTCCAACAATCATCCGAACTTATGTCCCCTCCTTTCTTTTCTCTGCAGGCTCTCTGAAACAGAGGCTGAATCATTCTTTAAACTGCTGAAAGAAATATTTTTGTAAAAAAAGTCTAACAAATTACATTTAACAGGAGTTTTTTGCACACTATGGAAGTCAGAAGCCACTCTAACCAAAATACAAGGAACATTTCAACACATCAAATCTATTGCTTGAGCACTGTTCCAAAGAGCATAGTATGTAGCAGATAAGGGAAATTATCATCCCTAATTTCTCTCCTCTTGTTTAAACTCCTGTTCAAAAAGGGTAGGAGGGACAAAAAATTAAAAACAATTGTTCTTGGTTTCTTAGTTTTGACAAGACAACAATTAAGGGGTAAGAGAGAACTAACAGGGAAGAAGCAGGGCAGAAAGGCAGTTGGAGTATAGTTCCAAAGAGAAAGCAGAGTATTTAATCCAACTATCAGAAAGCACAATTTTTTTTCCTCAAAACCTGAAGTTAAGACAGTCTCTGAAGAAAAACATATTTGCATATTCATCTGAAAAATATCTGATTAAATAATTAAGTTAGTCAAGAAATTTAGCAACTACTCACCTGTCTGAACATCTATAACCATCTGATGGCCACCTCTCATCCCTGGTCGGCTGTCTTCCCCATCCCCTTCAAAAAAAAGCAAGGGAAGAGTTTTCTGTTGTAAGATTTTTAAACCAAAGAAAGATACAACCCCACGTATGGCCTAAACAGCATACAGAAGCAGAGCAACTAAGTAACTCAGTGTTCTTTAAACATCAGCACATCCTTCCCAAGTAGTATTCTTCCGTGCAGTTTTATGCTGAATTATTTGGTGACTGATAGTACAGATACCTTAAGTGAACACGGAACTCTACTGCAACCCTGAGAGCCTTAGAACAAAGCTTGAGGGTTCCTGAAGCACACGTGTCCACACAAACGAGGTGTGAGCTTTGGAGCTCTCCAATGGTGGGGACACGTACAACCTTTTGCTCCCCTTCCATCTCTTCCCACCTGACAGCTGCCTGAGGGCTGAGCAGTGAGAACATACTCAAATGAAAGGGCAATGTACCCAAGGGATGGAAGCAAAGAGGTAATGGTACAGATATAGCATAGCTAGATTCGCACAAATTACTTATTCTCACATATAAAGGAATTCCAACTGTCCAATTAAGGCAGCTTTCCAATCACTTTAGATTTCTTCAGCGTTCAGGACAGGTGTCATTTACGGGAAGCAACATGAGAAAGATGACCCACATTCTGCTGGAAGAGAAATCTGCTTGTGTTCATAGCTAACCCTTCCCAAGAGGTTTGGGTACGGTGCTCCACGTTTGGCAGTTGTCACCTTGAATCCTACAATTGTTGCATGACAGTGACTTTTGTGCTTTGCAGTCAAGGCTGCTGCTACAAGTCTCCTCTCAAGGCAGAAGTTAAGGGAAAAAGATTCTGCAGTTTAGATTTAACAGACCAAGACTTCAAAATCTGCATCTCAAATTTCAAATGCTCCTTGTTAAGATAATGCATTTATTTGCCACTCTTTGCCATACGTTTAAGTTGACTCCATAAGTTAAATCCAGTCACACAGGTAACCACCCCAATGCCTAATCTACACTCCAAAATTTGTTTCTGAACTTATTAGCTATCCTTGAAGTTACAGCTAGTGTTCCGTCCTCAACCAGAAACCAGGTTGCATTTCACTGACTTTGCAGACAAATGCCAAGTTTTCCATGGACAAAACCATTCCCTAGAACAACTATCTTAGAGGAAGTTTGCTTTCATCATTTTCTTGCTCTGTGTCCTCAAAGGAACAAGACAGAACTGGCAGTACATGGGTTATATCTTAAGAAATGTCCTTACCTTTGGTGCTTTTGGGGATGATCTGCCCCCAGCGAGGTTTGTATTCTTGTTGACTGATATACTGATTGAATAAGCCATCTGCAAAACAAAAATTTTACTGTAGAAAACGTTTATACTTCCATTAAAGCAAAATCACTTTCAACGTAGGTAACTTCAACCTAACTCCATCCAGTATGCTACTCCAAAGCCTTCATTTTAAGTAAATTCCCTACATGTGTCAGTTAGTTTGTTAAACTTGTTAATGAATAAATGTGTAAGCACTAAAATAAAAAGAATACTCATTACTAGATCAATCAAGAACTACCCAGTTTGCCTGCCAGGTCATGCCAATTGTCTATAAATCTCCAGTGTGGTGTATTTAATTAAGATACAATCCCTCCCCCTTATTTAAGCGAAAGGAAAGTTGCCAGAGCCTGTAAAATTCAACCATTTCAGTACACGTTAAGTTAAAACTGGGTCAGGCACCATCTCTGGAGCTTCATCTAAGAAGAAAAGGGAAGAAAAGCAGATTGTTTAAAAGCTACGATATGGGACAACGAAGCACTGGATGAAAAACAAAATAATAGTTTACATTCTCTTCAAGAGTTAAGCAAGAAAAGAAACAGAAGACGCATTAGGTAACTGGTCAGATATGCCAACTGCAGCATTTCTGTAAGAAGCATTAACTCCAGCACTATCCAAGCTCCCCTTGTGCCTTCCTCTCTCCCTCTGTACACCTACCACATGTCACCTCTTCAGCGTCGAGAGGTCAGTTCCTAATTCTGGTTACATGTTATCAGCCTATCACACACGGTAATTTTTTGAAAAGGAGATTCATAACACCTACGCTCTCCTAGAACGCTCTTCAGTCTGGGAAGGACCTCGCAAGCGTTCAGCAAACTTGTTGGTATTGCTGTTCAAACATCTAAAAACCCACCTTCCTTACCTTGTGCAGGCACCACAAACTATTAGGCTGCTAATGGTTAGTCTCTTGACCACTGCTCACCTGGCTATATCCCACCCATCACCACACCATTTCAAGACACAAGCTCCTTGTGACAAGCGGTTGTTCTGCATTTCGTAGAATCCTAGAATGGTTTGGGTTGGAAAGGACCTCAAAGATCATCTAGTTCCAATCCCCCTGCCATGGGCAGGGAAACCCTCCACTACACCAGGTGGCCCAAAGCCTCATCCAGCCTGGCCTTGAACACTTCCAGGGATGGGGCAGCCACAACTCCTCTGGGCAACCTGTTCCAGTGCCTCACCACCCTCTCAGTGAAAAATTTCTTCCTTAGATCTAATCTAAATCTGCCCTCTTTCAGTTTAAATCCATTTCTCCTTGTCCTGTCCCTACACACCCTTGTAAAAAGTCCCTCCCCAGCTTTCTTGTAGGCCCCCTTTAAGTACTGGAAGGCTGCTAGAAGATCACCCCAGAGCCTTCTCTTCTCCAGACTGAACAGTCCCAGCTCTTAGCCTGTGTTCAGTTATGCACTACCTGAAAAAAAATCGGGAGTTCAGACACCCCGTTTACATCACTAGTACAGTGATAAGTACCACAGGCAGACTGAGGACTCGAGTGACAGATTTACATGGTTTTATACTGAAACACTACACTGCACATACACCACTCGGATGTAGGACACATTCGGGGTCATTAATCATGTAACACACAGCAGCTATGGTCTTTGGTAGAACGGTACCTGGCAAACTTGCTCGGGAATTAGTTTTACATTCCCCAGCAGAGAAAGGAAAAACAAAATTACTAAGTTGCATCTAATACTTTTTACTTCTTCCAGCCCCAGTAATCGTGACTTTGAGGTAAGAATTTAACAGATCATGAAAGCCTGCATTTATTTATAGAAAATCCCTTGGTAGGCATACAAACAAAAAAGAACAATCCTTACTGCACACATCCCTATTTATTTACAAAAAGGTAAAAACCTTTGTTAAGCATGATACAACATTCAAAGAACATTTTAAAGCATTTTCTGGCATCCCGTAGTTTGTCATGACTGAAATCCAGGTTTTAATTAAAACCCAAGCCAGCAAGTACTTCCCGGGAGAAGATTAATACTCTATTTAGAGACCTCTAATAGGAAAATAAGGGCACTCAAGAGCTCCTGAAAGGTGCTGAATTTGGTCTTAAAATACAAAACTACTTTCAACTTCTATAAAGTCAGCTGTGCAAGTTTTTCAAATGAAACACTCTGTGAAGGCAGGGCAGATTTTACTTTCTCCTGTCCTGGAGCCAAAAACATCAGCTCTCTCCTAGCATGAGGTAATTGAGGAAAGTCAAAAGTTTGCTCAGCATTAGGTAGAAAAGTGGTTTATTTGGGTTTTAAGACTAGAGTTCCTAACTCCCACTTCTTCAGCGTTTACAAAGTTGAGGCAAGACACAAGAGGCTTCAAACTTGAGATTTCATTAATTCTGATTCAGAAAAGCCAACTCCCAACACAACAAATGCGTGCGCTGTAAGAAATCCCACACTGACTCAGGCAGATTTTTCTAGCCACAAACCTAGACAGAAATCCAGCCTTTTGGTTATCGCTAGAGCGTTTGGTCTGCAAGACACAAGGCAAAACCGAATGTATCCCTATGGCAGCCAACAGATAATTGGACATAAATAGCTCCAGAGGATGAATTACACCACATACGATCTGAAAGGGTGATTTAACCTCTCTCCCATGCTCAACACCCACAGGCTGCACTTGTCAAGATATGACGCTCCTTCCCTACTGTGCCTTCAGCCTCTTAATAATGCTTCTTGTCTTCCACGGGACATTGGTTTGGAAATACTCCAGCTTGCTTCCCAGAAATGTTTCTTTCTGCTGGGAGCAGTTCCACATTCGTTCTACTTGCACTGCAAACCAGCAGCAGCTTGTTTTGGAAGCTGAATCACCACCTGTCTGAAACCACCGGGGAAAAAAGAAAGGAGGATTTCTAGGTGGGTTCTGTATCCGATGCCAGACCTAGTCTAACGCACTCCTAACGTTTCTTGCCAGGACAGCACTGCTGACCAAAAGCTCTCCAAAGCTTCTGCAAAGGCACTGAAGATCAGATCTAGGTCTGCTCAGATTTGTCAGCTGATTCCACTAGTGAATCACTAGTTTAAAATAAATCTCAAGTCCTCTGCAGAAAAAAAAGTGTTAAGTGCAAGATTTTAAAGGAAGTCTTTTCCTTCGCCCCAGAAGCCTCTCATAGAATCACAGAATCATCTGGTTGGAAGAGACCCTCAAGATCAAGTCCAACCATTCACCCTGCACTGTCAGAGTCCCTAAACCATGTTCCTCTCATGTCAATGTCCATGTTTACTCTCTAAAATTACAGCCAAAACCGGTACTTTTATTTTGTACTATTTTCAAGTCCTTCGTAGCAAGTTGTGACGCATTTCGGATGTAACAACATGAAGTTCACAGTGGTTTAAGCTTAGTAAATTCTACCTCCTGATAATCAAAGTCTTTATTTTGTCAGTCAATTACCAGTTACCTAGAAAGGATTAGGACAAACATCGCAGATAAAAATATTTAATCTGCTGAGGCCAATCAGGAACAAGGAAAAGTTCTATTAAGTTTCTTTTTTAGACAACATACATGTCTGGAGAGTATTACTAAAATCTATTCACCTCACTGCTGAAAAAACGTCAGAGAGGCATGTAGCCCACAATTTCTGAGTGTTAGGGTTTGGTTTTTTAAGATTTTTCTTGAATCAAAAAAAAATACCAAAACCACCTAAACAGATTGAGGTTATTGTAGTCACAAAAATCCTTCTAAAGAAAAGCTGAAGCAGAAAAAGATGACACCACGTAAAAATCCAACCATTACACAACAATTTCCTCAAGACGTGGGAGCAACAAGGAAATGCAGAAATTTTTTCCAGCCTCAAAGTTGTAACATCTCCTTGCGCTTTCTTCTTAAGAAAAACGGAACAAGGTTTGCTTCAGATCTGCTTCTTCTGCACAAGGCCTATCATCTGCTTTCCATAGGTTTTGGATTCCTACCAAGCCTCTCCCCTCCATACATCCCAGCCCTACAGAGCAGCAAGCCAGTGTCCATACTTTCTCGGAACCAAATCCAAACGTATTTGATGGCAAAATTAAGGTACGCGCGTCTGTCTAGAGTTTCCAGGAGAATACAACCATTCCTGTGCATCCCGAGTTTTGGGAGACGTTCGAGTCTGCAGGCTGTGCATCACAACTTGTTCGTCGTACGAAGCCGACTTGTCAACAGATAAACACGTCTCACATACTGACACGAGAACTGCCAGAAGGAACACCTCGGTCCCCGGAATACTAATATGAAACCAACGGATCCTCGATCCATTTCAAGCTCCTTTCCATGCCTACAGTAGCTGCGAACAGTTCCACTAAGTAATTTGCACTCTGCATACTCTCTGTAGGAATATTAAGCAGATTTTTTTTCTTCAATAATATAGGCAGTCTGAAAGCTATAGGAATGAGTCCAAATGTGAAGCATTTGAACCAAGTCTGTGAACCAGCTGAGATTTAGGGAACCTTTTATTTTTGAGAGGAAGTCAGGCAGCTGCCAGAGTTTCCATTTGCCCATTTTCTAAGTGTAATGCACAAGTCAAAAGAATCTGCGGGAAAAGCGTGGCTGCCTGCCACCGAGCTCTCAAAAGAAATCATCTGGTGATGTGAGGTGGAAGACAGCGTTCATCATTAGCAATGCAAAAGAACAAGAGTTTAGCTCTGCTAGCACTAATTCTTGACCACCTACTCTTTTTCTACATGACTAAGCCTATGGAAATAGCCTGCAAGAGATGCAGTGCGTTTCACTTCTTAAACACCTACCACTGCAAATATCAGCCTCCAGAGAAGACGTTCCAGGCTGAACTGAGTATGCAGCATCTCACACACCCTCACTGCACTTCTGTTTGTTCCTTTAAGGCAGTGAGCAGGAGGGCAGAAGTTCACATATTCGTGTCCAGAACAGTTCACTCTGAACGATTTCAGGGATAATTTAAGGTTCCGTGTATCTCTTATTAACTCTACACATCAACTACACTACACGGACCGTACACGGGACTAAAGTTAATCTGCTTTTCTTTGAAAAAACAACACAAAGAGGAGCTCAGTCGTAAGAACACCCACACCTTGGAAACTAAGCAGCAAGCTATGGATACTTCACTACAAAGCTGCTGGGAAAGTGAAATGGAAAAACGCTGGGTGCTAACGAGCCTCTTTCAACCAAAGGAGCTTGAGAGAGATGCAGAAGCGAGTAAGGACAGGTGAGTGTGGAGGACCACAGAGAGCAGATGGCAGCAATGCCACAGGAGAACATGTGGAAGGCTGAAAACATCTAGTCTCATCCTACCAAGAAGAATGATCCAGCTGTTAAATATCAGGTACATTCAATACCTTGACTTGACTGTCATCTTATACAACTCTGGTCAAACTATTCCAGCTGCAGTTCCAGGTTTTTTGTGGCTGGCAGAAGAGGTTTGCCCTATCCTCTCCCTCATCGTAGCTCGATCAGCTCCCTGACCTGGTTTGCCATGTGGCAGCACGAGCACCAGTGCCAGCAAGCGAGAGGCCAGGGGACACACTGTCCTGAGTGAGGGCAGGATTGACCCAGTTAGTACAAACCGGTAGTCGTGTCAGCAGAAAGGAAATACGGGATATAGTCTCAGGAGAGAGTGCACTTCCCTCCAAAGGGTGCTGGGAGGCGACAGAGCCTTAAACGGGTACAAAAGCTGAAGACAGCATAAAGAACTGCAGGATGGGGGAAGGAAAGTTAATGTATTCAAAGACAAGCAAAATCATTAAGGATGAGCAACAGAGCAATGGGAGATGCGTACACTGACATTTAACTTCAGCTAGCCAGGTGCTGGATTAAAGGGAAGCAATATAAACACCCTCACGCATATTATTCTGTTTTCTGTGACAAAACTTAATGACGCTACTTGTAGACCCTCCTGCTAAGGTATCCACAGTCTGTTACTAGAAATACTTGTTTCTGTACTTGCTGGAACAAAAAAGGACTCACAAAACAAGCTACAACATATTTCTCCGGCTTGCTTAAGTGATGCTGAGTTCCCCAACCTCTGAAAACGTACACAATTACAAGAATCAGGGAAACAGGATTATTCACATCAAATCTGACAAGAAGCAAGCCTCCATTTGTCAGACAGTACAATACAAGACCTACAGTTTTCTACCAGGAGAGTCCTTTGCCAGCGCATCCACACCTGGAAAAGCCGAACACTGCAGACAGTAACCCCACTCTCAATGAACAAGGGGAAACAGAAGCATCACCTTAGCTCAAGTCCTAGGGGAAAACTGCTGGATAGAATAAATGCAGTATGTTAAATATTAAGTAGTAAAAGAAATCAACATGTTACAGCTCAAAAAACGAGGCCACAAACATTCACTTCATTAATGCCTCAAAACAAAAGTCAATTTTTGAGAGAACTTATTCAGCACATTCTAGACTTCTAGTGAAATTCTATTCAAGAAATAGTTTCTGCTACAGCCTGCAATGAAGTGGAAAGAGGACAGCCTCTAGGCACCGACAAGATTAAGCCATAGCCAAGGCAGGAGACCGATGCATTGGCAAAATCATCACCATCAGCATACAGCACCCCTCTGGCTCTCAGCAGATCCTGCCTCATCCTGGTGGGCTCATCAGCTCCCCCCAGCACTCCTATCTTTGAGAAACACTGCCAAGACAGTTAACAGCCAGCCACAGCTCCCTGCTGCTTTCTCATCCTGCAACCCTCACTCGCCCTTACGATTCCGGAGGAAGCTGCCAGTTGCAAAATGCCCCTGCATTGCAGGAAGCTGTTGATGCTCCCATGCCAGCCAACAACACAACATTGTCTCAGGAGAGCGAGGATGAACGCTGGCAGTTCTCACTCTCAACACTCGTAGCGGCTCAGGGAGCTCAGTGCAGGGCAGAGCTCGGCTGTTTTATCTGTATAGTTGAGAAACCTTGAGCCAAAACTCACAGAAAGCCATCTACCGCGTTTTTTGCAATAAGCTCCTTAACATTCTGCATAGTTGAAAAGTTTATTCACAAAAAGATGGTGGATTTTCATTGAAGATTAACTGAATTTTAAAGCTATAATTTCTATCGTATCCTGAGAACCACTTGCAACTTTGGTGGTATAAACCACACTGGTGGAGTCAAGCATCTACCCAAAAGGTATTACAAAATGACTGATCAGCCCAGAATTGGGAAAAAAGGCATCTCTGGTGCCAGACATCCATGCAATTGGTCCACTAAGCCCCTAACTGTACTAGCATGAGATGCAAGCTTCTCTTCTTACGCCAGTACAAGCTTCCCAGGAAAAGCAACTGCATATAGCCAACAAGTACTACACTCAGAACCAAGAGCATCTCTGTTTATCACACTGTGATCCAAAACCACTGCACAGGTCCTTGGGAGACAGTTCAGTGCAATAGCCCAATTCTTTTTGCACCCCATTCTATCAAAAGAAAGTACGCATCTCCCCCATTTTAGGAGTTGAGAGCTGTTTACACACAGTGCTTCTAAGGTAAAAGTTTCCAAGTTGAAAATTAATAGTAATTACAATGAAAGCAGCTGCCCATGTCCATGTCTCTCACTGTGACTTCTACACAGTTCTTCAAGGGATATTTTCCCCACAGGCAAAGCCAGCATTCTCATTCAAATACAGCTGAGAACTTGTGCTGAAACACCAACTAGGTGGTAAGCTCTAACCAGAAATCATGATACAGATCATCACTGAGAATTCACATGTTTTACGCTCCCCTGCTAATCGTTCCAGTGACTTTTCTGATAGTTAGCCCACCTTCAGCTTGCCAGCCACTTACATGAAGAACTTGTCTTTACCCAGTCCTAAGTGCACCACGTTGTCACCTCTGGGAGAACAGGACTTCAAAAGCAGCAGTGATAAAGAGATTTCATGACTGAACTTTTAGCCTTCATCACACACATACAAGTCCAAAAGCTGATAGTTCTCCACGCTAGATATGAAATAGCACATGGACTAGCCAGTTCTGCTACTAAGTGCATTAACATTCAAAGCAGTAACATTTCAATGCAGTATTTTTTAATTAATATACCAGACCCCTCGGATTCTCTTACCATTCACAGCTTTTTCTATCAGTTCTTCACAAGCATCGAAGTCTCCCTTCAGTACCAGTTTGTCATGCAGGTCTGTCAACATAGGGTGCTCCAGAGCAATCTTGGTCTTCTTCTGCAGCGACTCAAAAGCTTCCGTGTAGTTGTGCTGACGAAAATGCTTTAGGCAAAGGCGAATGGCTTCCTGTTCACGGTACTACTGGAACACAAGAAAACCTATGAGACATGTAGATTTTTCATTTACCAGCATTGCTGGAAGCTACCTGTGAACCTGCCTGGAGACAGAAGCAGGCTATCTGACACACGCTGCACATGAATCACTCACGAGCTTACAGAGGAATGCTGTACCAAAGACGTTACAAGCCGTGCAGGCACTTACTTTCCAATAGTATAGAAATTATACAACTTGGGATCATCCAGTTTAATAAGCATACAAGAGGAGAGCACCCAGCGTCCCAGATCTCTGGAGTCACCATTATTCCCCCCATCTGCTTGGCCCCGCTGTTCGAGGCCTACACGAAGCATAGAGCAGGAAAAAGCCTTTGCTATCAGCGTTACATAATTCGATTGTATGACTCTTATGTAACAAAATAATTTAGAAGAGTAAGTAGGTCACAGCTTTTCTAGAAGCAGAAGAAAAAAAAAAAACCACAACACATGAGAAAAGGAATACTTGCAACGACCACTGCAACGGAAAGGCAGAAGGCAGAGCTGACCCCAAACCCCGTGGCTTAGCAAGGGTTTCAGATCAACAGCACCAAAGATTTATGTGCATGCTGAAGTTTTATTTTCCAAATATTCCCATGCATCTTGAAGCAGAACCCCTGCTTTCATACGGCAGACGGACCAAAGTTGCCTGTTTCCAACTCAGCTGTGGGAAAGGGTGAGAAAGGCTAGAGAAGCCCACGCTGGGTCAAACATCCAGGCACAGAAATGTTGAGGGAATAGTAAACTCGGAGTAAGAGCTACAGCTTGTGCTGTTAACCTACCAAATCATCCACCCTGTTTTCAAAGCTGCTAACAATATGCGTAAGTAACACAGATTTTTAAGTTGATAAGGAGCAGAACCACTTATTTTAAATAGACTCTTCAAACCTAAATTCTAAGGCATTAAAGAGAAAAGTAATCTCAATTACCATCTTTAACACTGTGGTAAAAAGCAAATGTAACTTCAGCATCTGTAAAACTGATCAAATTACAGACAAGAGATTTTACTCCTAAATGAAAATCACTGCTAAAAGTGAAGTTTACGGTATTTAAATGAACAGAATCTTTCTGAAAACCTGGAACTAACACTAACATTCAACAAAAATTAGTGCTCTCAAAATAATGGCTCTATAGCAAGAATCTCAAACTGAAGCGGCTAAAAAGAAACACGGCCATATGCTGTATTTTTAGTTCTTAATCCATCAGTATTTCACAGCTGCAAATAGCCAGAACTATGCATTTTTAGAAAATCAGTTCCCAGCCCACATGAAAAAGGCCAAGGACATGTACCGATAAAAATGCTAGACTGTGGTAGAGTAATATTAAAGGTAAAACAGGGTTTTACAGCACAACTAGAAAAAAAAACCACTTTTTTTTTTCCTAAGAGATACCCAAGACACTGCCTTTAAGCAAATGTTCACCTACATCAGCCAAGGCCAAAACCACATTAGATGCTTTATTGCTCAAAGGGAGCAAGGAAAAGGACGGCTGCACACCAGTAATAACCAGCTTCTGCATTTTCAGCTCCTCTAGTTTAGACAGAAGACGAGATTTGGACTTGGCATATTTCCACTGAGCTCTCAGGACAGAGAGATTGGGCTTACAAACCATGAAATGATTGTTGGTTGCAGGTTGGCCACTTGATGCAGCAAAGAAGTTTGTATTTAAGTGACACCATAGCAGCACTTCAGAAGTCAAATGTAAAAACTTTTCTATGCAAAAAGGTACATAAAAAGTATATTAAAGGCTCCTTTTTAGATGCTGTCCTACAGGTTTAAGGAGATGACAATCCAAATAGCTTTGATCTAAAGCTGCAAACAATGCCTATGGTTAAAAACATAATAAGCATGAGACTGAGACATTAACACGGTCAAATACACTAGCAGAACTAAAAATATTTAAGTGTCCATTATCAAAAACAAAAGTGATAGCCATCAACTAACGGCCACTTCTTAGTTAGAATCATAGAATCATTTAGGTTGGAAAAGACCTGTTAAGATGATTAACTCCAACCATAAACATAACACTGACAAATCCACCTAAACCATGTTGCCACATCTACATCTTTTAAATCCCTCCAGGGATGGTGACTTCCCTGGGCAGCCTGTTCCAAGGCTTGAATTAGTTGCTACAGTATGCCCACTCTTGAGTAAAAGCTGGTACGGCTTTCAGGAGGCAGCAGGCTGAGCTGGACAGCAAGGAGAAAGCAGTGGAGAAGGAACTGAGGAGCATGTCTGCTGCTTTGAGTCCACACCTCCACTCCCTTCAGGAAAGGGAGCTTTTGTTGGTTGAAACACATACAATGACAAGGATGGGCAACTTCGGGTGCAACCTTATTCTCATCCGATGTCTCAGGCAGTAAAGAATTATTAGATTTCAAAGCCTTCCAGACTTCCAAGAGCATGCATGAAAACATTCACACCATCTCAAAGAACTGGAAGAAACAGGTCAACCTTTCTGCCGTTCCCCAAATACGGGTCAGTGGATATATCCTCTGGATCCAGTTAAGAGTGGCCTCTCAGGACACAGGGAGAGGAGGACATCAGTGAGACATGTACTCATCACCAAAAACTTGGCAACTGATCCTAGTAGAGCCCAAACGATCATGACTAAGTCTCTGCCTTGTTGCTCTAGGGCTGTAAGCTTTAGAAGAACAATGCTGGCACCCTTGAAGAAGCTGTCACTACATACATGCTGACCATGAAAAGTGTCGATTCCATGGGATAAGATGGAACAAACCAGATGCTGAGATCATCATCATCAGATGGCTCCTGACCAAAAAAATCCCGCAAAAATCAGAGCTTCCCGATTGTGGCAACCGATCAGAAATGCCAGAGACACCACCATGTGCAGAGGCAGCAGAAAGAAGCACAGAAAACTGTCAGCAGCCTCTGTCAACTGGACTATTCAGAACTGGACACCAGTAATCAGCAGACTAATGACCACAGTACCACTTCAGCCAGCTTCCACTGTGACTGTTAGTGCTGGTTTTAAACGCTCCATGAAGAAGTCTGTGATGCTGGTATAAACACATACAAGCCAGATAGCGTGGCCATGAGGTTTCTTTACCATACTGGCAACGCCATAAACTGGTGAGGGAGCCTCAGTGCTACAATGCACAATCTTTATCTCCTTTTAAGTTTTTCCTTCTGAAAGCAGATGTGTGCTGCTCCACTACCCAGTCTTATTCAGCTGGGAAGGATGTCTTCTCTGTAACACAATATGAATTTCATGAATTGTTCCACAAGATCTATGCATAGAAAGTAGCAACAAAATGAATTTTGGTCATCAATGTGCACTTCCCTCTCACAAGAGAGGCATCCGTTGTACTCAATTATTAATACAGTCTACACAAATAATGTTTAGAATCCTTTGAACTTTCTGTCTATCAAAGTGACAAATGATATAAATCATCTCATCTCACAGTCCAGTGGCATCAGCTCCCCTCTGATTCAGAGTATCCAGCAAAAAGGCAGTAACAGGGAAATACCAGAAGTGCAAAGAGTTGCAATGGGAAAGACACCAAGGTGGACTCTCTTTAAAACAAGCTCATTTTTATATCCTGTAACAAAAGCTGCACATGTAACCCGCAAAGCTCTAGGATCACACACAGCTCTAAAAAAGGGCTGGTATGGTAAAAGAATGAGTAATCAAAAGGCAAGAAGAGGGAGAAATGGAATCCGGTTTTGTTGAGATTCATCTCCCTTCCAATACAAATACGATTTTACTAATATTGTCTCCTCTGACTCAGTGTTCCCTTCTTTTATGTTTTGCTTGTGATGTCTACCTAGTAAGGCTTTTTTCGTAGTTTTTTTTTTTTCGTGGTGATGGTGCTGCTTTCGGTTTTTTAGGGGGGTGTTTTGTTGGTTTGTTTTTTTTTAAAGTGCACAAGCAGATACATTTCAAAAAGATTAACTTAAGAGTCAATGTCGGCCATGTGGTTTGAGTTTTAACTATGCATGTTTGTTATTTTAATAGCTGATACTCAAGAAATGAAAAGGTCACGTAATTCCAGTAAGAGAAGTTTCACAAGATTCTGAGACTACAACGTAATCTTCACACAAACAGATATCTAAAATGCAGGCCTACCTTGCTGTACCAGTTGAGGCACGGCTGGACCACATCTGGATCATCAATGCCATTAAGTTCAACATACCAGATACTAAAATTGAAGCTAGGTCCCCAGGACAAGAGTGGAACTGGAGGAGAAAGGAAAAGGAGAAAAAGGATGCATAAACATCAAACAGTCACTGTGTTAGTCTCATCAGGCTATACGTAGTACTATTTCAACAAAATGCTTTTAAAGGTCACACAAAATTCAGTATTTCTGATTTGACATAAGTTCTAGCTCGTTTAAGTAACCTTAGGAGAGTTAAAAAACACGTCATGTTGAGGTTGTCATTTAAAGCAACCTGTGCCAAGCAGCGTTAACACAGCAGATCATTAAAGCAGAAGCTTGTTTTAAGCAAAGGAGCAAAAATACTACCAGTTAAAACAGCTCCAAGAGGCAACGAGCTTTGACATGGATGGGAATCACAAGCATACTCGCGACAGTATTTGCTCCTTATAGTACTTTTTATTTCCACATTTGTCAGCAACAATTATTTCCCCTAATGGTGAAGACAAGAAGCTTGGGTATTTTAAATTTTACAAAATTAGTAACGTCTGCAAGTTGTGGAGGAGGGAGGGAGGGAGGGAGAACTGTCAGTTTCCAATTTAAAAACTGTATCTAATTTTTTTATAATTTTTTTTAAAGCTTAAATCTGTGCAGCTTTTTAGCTAATACTGTTTTATCTGAGTATTGGAATAAACATACCTAAAACATTAAATGACCCAGGAAACACACTGCAGGCTCTCCTCTAAGGCTTCTTTACTACTCAGTGTTAACATCTATGATCTTGCACTGATCTACTGATTAATCTGCAGGTGAAGACTTGGTTTTTTTCCCCAGAAAACTTACATGAACTCTGACTCCTTAAAACTGCACTGAAATCAAGTGGTTTCACTTCAAATGTTTTTGTTTCCTTTTTATTTGACCATAACTTATAAACAGGAAAAGACAGTATTTGAGATGAATGAGTAGTTACCAGCAACAGCACAGAGTCCACTACTTCCTCCCTTCCACAGAAACTCTTTTTGCCACAGAGAAATTGCTTGTTGTCTATCAAGCCACTATAAAATACCACAGAGATTAACTTCTTGAACTAAAGTGTTTCCAACCTACTCCTTGAGGAAATAAAAAAAAAATTGCCTTGAAGTTGTTCCTCAGCTTTTAAAGGTTCTTAAGCATTTACATTTCCAACAAACTAAATCTATTATTTTTTCTGCAATGTGTTTGGGCACAAAGCATATGTTCAAACACCATTTTCTAAATTTTAAAGGGCATGTCTATGAACTTATTGTTAAATTCTTATGACAACTTCTAGGAACAATCATCAGGAGAAGAGACTTTTAGAAAGGATCCAAAGAGACCTTGAATATGCAATTCATAACTGATTTCAATATCCTTAAGCACGCACTTTATACATTACAGCTCTCAAATCATCCTGTTCAAACAGTTTCTTTGCACTTGATTGTTGAGCATACAAAGTGAGATGCTTTCAGAGTAGCTCCTAGTGGGTACATGTTTGTGGAGACAGGAGAGAAGTGAACTGGTCAGGAAAACCAAGTCACCTGTCCTCTGCCCAAGAAACTCCTTTCTTGCTTAGTTTTGTCCTCTGCACAAGACCAGTGCTGCCAATATGGTACTTAACACCATAAAACATTACTACTTTTAAATCCAAGTACCCAGATAAGTTTAATCCTGGGTATCCCACCACCTATCAAAGCAGCAGACTGACAAAACACCACATGTAAGAGTAAGATGTAAAACACCACCGTTGATTTCTTCTCGGACCCAAGCACAGAGGATGACCAAAAGTTAAATTTGGTACGTGCTCAGCTACAAAGAATCAAAATCTATCCATCAGCTTCTTGCACTGAAACACTGAACCAAACCACAGACCACCTCAAATGGACCAAGAGCATAAATTTCCTGATGGTGAACCTAAGGCCAATTTCATAACACTAAGCTTACTGAGTGAAAAAACAAACCTAGGTATTACCACCTTCCCACCTCATTTCAGAAAAAAAAAAAAAAGCAGAGGTGTCCACCTCTATTTCTTTTCAGCTCTTCTCAGAACTTATACCAACTTCTCCTGGAAAAATTTAACAATTCACCCTCTTATCTTGGCAGTCAGCTACAGCCTAAAAGATATATCAGGATGTGGATAAGAATCCTCGGTAACTATCAAAAAAATGCAAAAAAAAAAAATACAAAAACATTAACTTGCTAACACTTTCCCCCCCACCCCAGGTAACTCAGAGCTTTCAGGAGTCCTGTGCACAAGAAGGAAACAAAATACCAGAAATGGTGATTTAAAAATCAAGCTTTTCATGATGCAATCATCTACTTTAAAGAAAATACAGATGTTAAGTTTTACAGGGGATGCAGTGCTGCACAGGCAGCAAAAACCCAATTTCATCTTTTTAACCTACTCCACAGGAGCAGGAAAAGAAATAAAGCCTATAAGTTGAAACTGCAACGTGATTTCTATTCACTTAGCAAAGATCAAGTGTTCTGCCGGATCATGTCCCCATTTTTGAACCTCTTCCCTGGCTCCCGGACTACACGAAGGAGATGTTTCCCATCCTTTCCTCTGCCCTCTCCTTTTTGAAGCCTCCACAGGTGTGCTTAGATCTTTAGACAAATCTTTCAGAGCAGCCACAATCTAACTTAGATCTGGAAAGAGAGAAGACTTGCGGGAGACCTTCCAGCAGCCTTCCAGTACTTAAAGAGGGCCTACAAGAAAGCTGGAGAGGGACCTTTTCCAAGGGTTTGTAGTGATAGGACAAGGGGTAATGGATTTAAACTGAAAGAGGGTAGGTTTAGATTAGATCTAAGGAAGAAATTCTTCACTGTGAGGGTGGTGAGGCACTGGAACAAGTTGCCCAGAGAAGCTGTGGCTGCCTCATCCCTGGAAGTGTTCGAGGCCAGGTTGGATGAGGTTTTGGACAACCTGGTATAGTGGAGGGTGTCCCTGCCCATGGCAGGGGGGTTGGAACTAGATGATCTTTGAGGTCCCTTCCAACCCAAACCATTCTACGATTCTATGAACAAGGAGACACTACGTGCAGCATGGAAGTTGTGATAGTCACACAAACAGCGATAAGCATCACTTGCCAGTGTGATACACAAATCTCGTTTTTATTTTTGCACAAGGTTTGGAGGTAACAGCAGTCTAGGATGCTGGGTGCGGACACAAGCCCTCCTGGGTCCAACTCTCTCCAACTCCAACACATCTCCCAAGGGCTGGTTTTCATTTGTCCCCCTCTTTCACCCAACTTTAGATTTCACACCACAGACTAGGTAGACACAAAACTTCCAGAGCTTCTGCAATAACTGAGAAACACCCTCCTCTAAAACCCAGCGAATATCCTACCCTGCAATACAGCTGCAGAGGCCACATCTTGCACTATCCACTCTGCACTATATTGCTCTTTTCCTCTCATACCTTCGAGGTGGAAATACACTACAATTAAAGGTGTTGAGTCTGAAGCCTAAAGCTACAGTTATTTCTCCAGTTTTCACCATAAAGCCACCTCAGTACGGGTTTTTGCTGCACGTACTACAGCAATCTACCCTGAAACACACATAACTGTTCAAACCAGCTAAGCTGTCACTCCACAGCGAGGTGCCCAGCAAAAGAAAAAAAAAATGATGATAAAAAAATCAATATTCTTTCAACAGAAGCAGAAGGTATTTAGGTCAATTAAACAGTTCTTTATCCACAGAAGGATGATTTTAGGGGATATTTCTCAACAATCGTAAGCTATGTCTAAACAAGGACTGCAAAACCCTGTATACTAGAGAGGACAGTAGCAGAGGAATTAAACCCAGTAGAATAATTTCAAATACTCTCGAGCTAATTTCCATGTCCCTCATCTATAGGCAGTAGGCACACAAACAGCATATGTTTGGAAAAATGGAAGTAAAGATGTAGTTAATACAGGACACATCCATAAAGAAAGTACTGCTCATTTCTACTACACCAAAGGTTAAAAATCTTGAAGTCTAGTTAGTAACTCTCATGCTACAAACTGGCACAAGAACTACACCCAGCATTTCTTCAACCTCTTTCACAGCAATCAGTCTTTACAACACCTTCTGCTTTCAAGGACACAGCACAAAAAAAAAAATCTCTGCTTGGAGTAAACACAAAAACAGAGTCAGAAACAAAAGCTCACAGGCATTGCAAAGATTATTCTTTGATATTTCGTCCGGATAAATATCTTCTTCCCTCTCCCAAGTTCCTTAATGAGATGCTACATGAAATATAAAAATTACTTGTCAAGTAGGTCAAAAGCCTGCACAACTGCGTATTTCAGTGCTAAGGAACTGAAGTTGAACTAATTAAACTAAAAGAAACGCGAGTCTTTTCTCGACAAAATGAGAGAGAAGTTTTTTTTTTCTGCTTTCTATGAGTCTGAAACTTCTGCTAATACCTGAGCAACGGAAGTCGCAGGAATTATTTTCCCCTCTCCCAGATCTACCCAGGTTATGTTCCTCCTGCCCTGTACTCCCACACAACCCCACTGCTGTGTCACTAACGGTGGTGTCGAGGTCAGGATGCTGATCTGAAGAATTAGAAAGCAAACGTCTGATGCAAGTCGCTGCCGAGCGAACTAATGCCTTCCTCAAACACGCAAACCTCACTGACAACAGCAGCTTCTGCGGTGTCAGTCTCCAAAAGTCCAAAAGGGCAGATTTTGGCCTCATGTTTGCTGGCAGCATTACAAGGAACGCAGCACGGAATTTCAAATTTTCAGTTACTTTGGCTAGCAGCTTGGAAATTTTAACAAACTAAAAACATATTCAAGCTGTGAATCCGAAAATAACAGAATTTCGTAACATCATTTCGAAGTTGTTTCACAGCAAAAACCACTCATAGCTTCACAAACAAAACGATGCCAGTCACCAAATAAAGGTGCTGATGAAAAGATTGTTTTTAATTTCTGCCCTAGTATAGGAATTTTTTCATAGAAGATAGCTTCAAGAAACGAAAGGCTACAGACACAGCTAAAAAGGAAAACTCATTTCAAACCATAACTAGTGAGCAAGTGACAGTTAAATATGAATCTAATATTAACGTATATAACGGAACGCTTATTGCTATGCAAGAAACCCATCCCAAGAAAACAAGTCACATCATGCCAGAGAAAAAATTCTGGTAGCAGAAATTAATCAGCTTTTCACTTTCATAACAAGTTTCAACTTAGTGCTACACTTCATAACATCAGAACACATTTTGCTGGAATACAGTTTACACTTCCAGAGAAGCAGCTAGTAATCCTTCCACTCACCCCTTTAGCCCTCCAGTAACTACATGCTGGTTTTTAGCCACTGGAAAACAACATTTCCCAAAAACCTGATGTGAGAAGCTTCAGAATACAGTTAAAAAAAAAAAAATCAATTTAACTTCCTTAATGGAGAAAACCTTTAACTCCAACTATTCCTCTGCTTCTCTTGAGGTTTCCTAAAGCCAAGTGTTACAGATGCTTCCAAAAGCAGCAGCCAAAACCAAACCCAATGAACAACCAATTTCTCCACTTCTCTAAGAATGGGAAACACCACTGTTTAAGGCACAAAAATATTACTTGATTTCCAGCCTGAACGTTCCAATTCCTCAGCAAACAGGAGAGTCAAAGCTGCGTAGAAGAGACTAGAGCAAAGGGCTCCGAGGGGAGCCCCTACACAGCCACCATCATCCATGTCTTGGCAGAGGAATTACCCAACTCTTCAAAACACTCCTAAATCCATCTGAAATAGCCAAGAGGATCTCATCTCACTTTTCAGCAACTACCTCCTTGCTCTATTTTTAACCTTAAAACTTAAAACCAGTAATTCTTTTGCTATCTCAGTAGATGTGAAGGGCAAGATAAACGTACTGAGCTACAAAAAGCTGAAAGGCTCGGAATTCTTGGGTTAAATCCAACCGGTTTCACTGATGGCCACTGTCAGACACTTGTTCTCTCTGGCCTGCATGAAGCAAGGAAGAGAGATCCTCACCTCCCATCACAAGTCACAGTCACTGGCCTTTGTTAGCACCCCCTTCAGCAAGCTTCACCAGAGAAACAAGACTAGACATCATGGGATATAATTCTTCTTTTTCCCTGGATGTCATTTTTAGCCGGAGACGAGACATAATGATTAGAGTAGCAGGAAGGGAACAAGGAAGGCTTCTGCTGTTGCTCTATCTGTTGCCAGCGTGTTGGAGAACAAAAGATTTAAACTTTTTTCAAACTGTAGGGTTGTCAATACTGAAACTTTTACTGGTATTTAGCTTAATGATTTTTTTAATAAAAGAAACTCTATATAGCAATTTATAGTAGGACAGTAAGCAGCTTCTCCAGCAATGTTGACTCAGCAACTATATTTCTGAAAATTACTGCTTTCATTCCCCAGGATTTAAATTATGAAGCCATTATTTCATAGTAATAGGACTTCACTGTGTTCCAATCTAACCAGCCTAAAAGATCATGAAATGGAACAGCTATTGTGGATACTTTGCCTGAGTACAATGAAGTCACAAGTGCCAAGACTGGCACAAGTATAAGAAGAGATTATTTTCTACTCAGAATGCTAAAAAAATGCATTTACCTATCTTAATGAATCGACAGGGGAACATCTGTTCATCAATTTTATGCTTCAAGGTGAATGTTTCTTTGTTATAATCATTCTTTAAGCCACTGTGGGAAAAAATAAATAAGGTTACTAAATCTTACCTTGTATTTTAGGACTAGCTAATAAATGCAATCTAGGTCATGCCTGAAATGTGATGCTTGTTTCATATTACTACGAATCACAAGTACACATGCTGGACCAATGCCTGGACTCCCAGCCACCACCTTATCTCCCTGGGAGGCAGCACTGGCTAGTGGTTTCAGAAGGGAACTGACTTCGGATCAGTGCTGCTCGTCAGCGCCTGTAACCCTGTGACTTCAGCCCTGAACTACACTTTTCTGTTCTTAAGAGGGAGATGGACCAGCTCTCAGGATTATCACACTGCCAAAGTGCTTTGCGATCTATTTACAGACATTACTTTATAAAAATATCAAATATTTAGTATAATTTATCAGAAATCTTAAGTCCATTTTTACTGAAGATGCAAGTACAGGTCCCAAAATAGGGATTTTTATTCAACTTTAGTACAAGTGAAATGATATCAGTAATTACTGTGCTACTAAAACCTCTTCCCTCATAATTCTAGCAACAATAAAGTAAAACTGCAAGACTGTCTATCTAAAGAGGGCAGAAGGGTTGTGGCTAGTTTCTATACGGTGTTGAAGGGTACCCGCAACAAAGAACTTCCCATGTTTCTCCATGGCTGTTCTGCTTGACTACAGATGATGTACACCCATACATTCCTTGGAGGTGGACTTTCCTTCTGTAGGCCTCCAAAAATAGACTAGTTCTACTACTCATTTCGCTTGTACTCCTAGTGATTTAAATATCATTTCCCCTTCTGAAACAGAAGGCTCCTTAAAAGGCACTTGCAAATTTACATCAGTAACTACTCCAAATCTCTGGATAGCCTGAATAGCCAAAAGGCTCTTTCAGTAGTCCCTATCAGTACAATGACCAAATGAAACTAAACAAACATGGGGTTTGTATTTGCTTATCTGATTTCTTTTCCCATTTGAAGAAAGGCAGAGCAGCTGAGTAGCCCAGACCTTTACAGCTGCAACAAGGCTCCTGACATAGGCAGGTTACTTGGGATTTTAAAAGCTACTTTAAGTTACCCACACCTGGGGAATCATTTCTCTTGTGCCTCAAGCACACGCAAGAAAGGAATCACAATCCAGCAACGTCGCACCCTGCTCTCAGCTCTTCCAAATCTCCAAGAGTTTGCTCTCCACAAATCCTATGCGGTTAGAGCACGCTAAGGAAGGCTTCCTGGAGCAAGTGTTGGGATTGCTGCTCTCTGACCTGACCATAAACACAAGGGCAGCTAATTGAAGGACCATAACCACAGCTCTATTACACTGTCAGCCATGTGTCTGCTTGGGGTGAAGGGGAAGAGCATTTTGGTCCAGCCTTTATGATTACCACAGCTGAAGAAATCACGTCTTACCTGGATAAGAGATCTGTCATGTTTTCCTCATTCATCCCACCAAAGACTTTAAACTTCTTTAGATTGCAGACATGTGTTTTCTCGTATTTGCCAAATGTGATACTCTGGACTATGGCAGGTCTTTCAAGTTTCAGAATCAAATACTGCGGAAGAGAGAACAGTGAATTTTAATATTAAAGCCAAGGCTGCAAAACACACTAAGGGAGGAGCATTACAGCCTTCAAAAATCCAGTTTACAAAGCCAGAGAATGAAAGTTGAGATGATCCCTCCCCACTATTACATTATCCTCTTTGTCCCCGGAATGAAGCAAAGGTTTTTTAGGAATATTACTTTAAAAGCAGTTTATCCAGGAAAAAAAAGATTTGGTCGAACTACCTATTGCTAGCATTTCTATCCAGAGCTTACATACATTCCTTCAAGTTGGATGCAAGACTTCCTGAAATCTGGCAAACAGGATCAAACTACGGAGAGCGATGATTCAAACGCCCACTACAGCCTGAAATGAAACCTAAGCTGAATGCACAATTAGATAAATACAGGCTGCTCCACATGCTAAGAAAACATCGGATTACTTTTCCTCTCTGGGCTGACACTGTTTAACCACTGAACACAGACCACGTTTGATGTGTGGCTAACACAGGAACCAACTGCTTATTACCCATGCCAAAAAAAACCCAGCCACTTCGCTGACAACAAAGGGGCTCCACACCTAAAACGATGAAAATGTTCTCCCCTCGGGAATGTTTGCTCCTCCCTTACACAGACACCCCCCCGCCCCAGTGTAGGAATGGTCAGATTATTTATATTCAGGCTCCAGCTACCAGCTTCACCAGCACTGCTGGAGGAAAAGATGTTTCACTCGAAAAGCACATGCAGAGAAGCGCTCGCACCATTCACCAGGGACCACTGAGCACCGAGTTTATTTAACCTTCTCCTACAAAACAGGTCTTGGAGGGAGTCTGGAGACATCCTGTTTTGCAGAATACATCGAGTTTTACACCTGAAAACAGTATGTTTAATTCTCTTCCCTAACTTCTCAGAAATAAGCAGTACGCAACAGAGAAATGAGACCAAGTGCAGAATCAAAATTACTCATCGTGCTGGATTTTATTACAAAACCCTACGATCAAGGCTACAGCACAAGCAGATCAGCCAGCCACGTAGGACACCTCCCACAGCAGGCACTGCTGGTGGCCCTTTCCTCCCAGAAGCAGCACTGCCAAACCAGACGGGACGCAGTATTTCGAGTCCTTCCTCGATACCAAGAGGAGCATCTGCATGCGCGTGGCTGCTGTCTATGGTTCCCAAGCAGAGACTGGCATCTCTCCACAAAGCATCGTGGGCATCACTCTGTCCTATATGGCTCTATATGCATTCAGCTCTGGAGTCCCCAACACAAGAAGGACATGGAGCTGCTGGAGTGGGTCCAGAGGAGGGCCACAAAGATGATCCGAGGGCTGGAGCACCTCTGCTATGGAGACAGGCTGAGAGAGTTGGGGCTGTGCAGCCTGGAGAAGAGAAGGCTCCGGGGTGATCTTCTAGCAGCCTTCTAGTACTTAAAGGGGGCCTACAGGAAAGCTGGAGAGGGACTTTTTACAAGGGTGTGTAGTGACAGGACAAGGGGCAATGGCTTTAAACTAAAAGAGGGGAGATTTAAATTGGATATAAGGAAGAAATTTTTCACTCAGAGGGTGGTGAGGTACTGGAACAGGTTGCCCAGAGAAGTTGTAGATGCCCCATCCTTGGAAGTGTTCAAGGCCAGGTTGGTGGAGGCTTTGGGCAACCTGGTGTAGTGGAGGGTGTCCCTGCCCATGGCAGGGGGGTTGGAACTAGGTGATCTTTGAGGTCCCTTCCAACCCAAACCATTCTATGATTCTGTCTATGGGATAATCTTACACTAAAAGCGCATCTTTTGGGCGAGAAGCGGAACAAGTTTCCCCCCATTTAGTTGTGTCTTTCTGTCACAGCCCTATAAAGCAACTAATTCCAAATCTAGGAGCAGTACTGACATCGTTCTAGAGAGCATCAGGATAAATCTGTGGTCTCAACGGTTGGTCCTCAATATGTTTACAGAAAGCTCAGCTTAAAAGAAATATTTGTACACATAGCAGTTGCTGTTAATAACGCAGACTGCACAGGTACCTATTTAGAATCAGGAGGATTTAGTGCCAAAGATGTTTCCAGCAGCTTAAATTTTTTCAAAATGAAGAAAATAAATCAGTATCAGCACTGCTAGGGTGCAACAGAAGAATGCTTTGGTGCCTTCTCAGATTTACTTTTTTTTCTGAAGAAAAATTTGTAGTTTTGTTAAGAACACCATCCACCTAAACGTCAGAACCCACTGTTGGTTTAACTAGCACTAAGCCGCGTTTTTGTCTCAAAGTGCCTCCCAAACTTCAGAAAATACAAGGCTCTATACAGAAAAATATTTTCTAAAGCAAAGAAAAGGAAGGGATGAGCAAAAGGACGGTCCTGTAATGAGCAAGGCAGTACTTGGTTCATGGCACAGCTCGCTGCCAAAATTCCCATGCAGAACAGACAGTACACAACAACGTCTAAGAACTCCTCCTACACCATCGTATCTTCCCTGCAGATTTCTCCTGAAGCCTAAAAAGCAAAGCCAGCACTACCAGCACCAGCAACTGCAATTCTTCATCTTGCTGGAATCACGAGCCTAGCGCTTGGGTCATGAAGACATACTTTCTCACATACCACACAAGATTTGCGCAAGCTTGGCACAAACGTCACCCTGCATTATCCACTTCTTAACCGAAATTAAGGGAGAGAAAATCGGGACCGCAGGTAAATCCTTTACCTTGGCATACAAGCCTGGAAGGGGGCATGGCAATTTCCCCACATGGCTAGCTGGGATTTCTTAAACCTGCAGATGGAGAAGGAACTCTACAGCCCTCCTTCCTGCTTCCACACACCCCATCACCTGCTGAGTCAGGCAGATGTTACAGAAAATACAAGTCAAACAGAACCTTTCTGGGAATTTATCTGCTGACTGGTATGGAAACAGAAGACAGGTTTGCTTTAAAGCCTGTGGCCCAGTACCTGTACCTATGTACGTATTTATTTTTTTTAATACATATACATACACATATATAAAAATACATACAGAGATGTACTTTTTGGGTTTATACACAAATATACATACTGCTGCCACTGGGAGTACTGGCTACAAATCTCACTGATGTTGCAAAAACATCCTGCCTCAAGAGCTGCAAACGGCTGGCTGCATGGATATTTTCAGACTGCTACCAGGATTTTGATGTGACAGACTATCCTCTATAGCTTTGAAAGATGTGATAGAAGTGTCCATGAGATCAAGTGATTTATTTAACCTGGAGAGAACAAGTCTGAGATTTCAGACAAACACGTATACCAAGATATTTGACACTTTACCATTGTATTGCTATAAACAACATCAGTACATTTAACATCCAAGTATTCATGAAGTATTCCAAAAATTCAAACTATAAACCAAAGTGTTTGTTCATTAGAGGCATGGCACACAGACACTAATTGGCATAACTCAAAACCCTCAGTCTAATTGTTAAGCCTCAAATTACAACACTTACAAAAAAGATTGTACAAACATCAAAAGAGTAAAACTTCTGGTTTATGATTAAATGCATTTGTAAGTGAAGACGTACAAAGAACAGAGTAGAGGAAGTCATGTATGGCACTTCAGCACCTCAACAGCTTGTTACAGCACATCCAAAAAAGCAAATCCAGTCCTGTCACACTGAGAGCTGCAGCAAAATAAAAAACTTTTTTGAAGCTCTGGTCTGTGCTACCATTTGATGACAACCATATGCATGCTTCTGCATAACACACTAAGTGTCAATTTTATTAATGTACTTTCAGTTAATTCCTGATATGATCTACACAGCAGGATGGAAATCAAGAGAAGAAAACTGGTCTTCTCAGATGCAAAACTGAAACCAATTGTTTGGACAATGCCACTAACTGTATCCATATGCTCTTTAACCGTTCAAAATTTACATTTCCACACCAAATAAACTGGAATAGATTCCAAACTGCACTATGCAAGCTGCCTGTGCATTGAAGTCACATTGTACTTTATATTTATTTTTCTCTTTAACCATTTCTGCTCAAGCATTTTTTATCAAGCAGCAGTGAAACTTGTATTGCACGTGAAAATAAAAACACAAAGTAAAAGGACCTACCCTTGTCCACTACACAAACCTACCCATCGCTTTTGCAATTAAGCTTGTGGCTAAATAAAAACCTCCCCTTTTGTTCTACACATTATTAATCAAGCCACCCAGGGGAATTAAATGTTCTGCACACAGCCTTCAAGTCAGACCATCGCTGGAGCCATCAGGATGAGCGTTTACAAAATGGTCTTCAGCATGACCAGCCTTATTGCTTCACACTTCCTATGTAAGCCTAGAACCAGTTTAAAAATAGAACCATCAGCCCTCTTCTGACCGAACAGGTTACTACACAACAGGTTTGTTATTGAATGTATAATTTCTGGGTCATTCTATTTCAAGACTCAAGAGAGATATCTAGTTTAATAAACAGAAAAACAGCTGTCATATGTATTTCCTTTCACTGGCACTCATTCATAACCAACTGGTGGCTTTCACGGCCACGAGAATTATTTAACTCTGCCATAGCCATAAAGGTAGCAAAACTCTCTACGAAATGTAGTCACGCGGCAGCACTTCAAGTGTCTAAACTTCCACTTTCATTTTCTTTCCTTTTTCAAAAAGGTTTAATACGGACTCCAGCACACTCACAGCAAAGCAGAGATCTTCATCAAGCCACTGAACGCATTCTTTTACTTATGTTCTTCTAGTTCATGCTCATCCTAGCAAGAGGAACACTCGAAGAAAAGTTGCCTGGAGAGGTTTTGTTTCACTCAACAAGGGAAGGCAATAAATCAATACTTAGGGACTCGCTCACAGAATCACAGAATGGTTTGGGTTGGAAGGGACCTCAAAGATCATCTAGTTCCAACCCCCCTGCCATGGGCAGGGACACCCTCCACTACACCAGGTTGTCCAAAGCCTCATCCAACCTGGCCTTGAACACTTCCAGGGATGGGGCATCATATTTTTACCTGGAAGGCAGCACAGCACACCACCTCAGCAGGGAATTACTAAACCCTTACATCAAGGTGAGACACTGTGACGAGACAAATACCAGCGATTAGGGCTGCAGAGCTTACTAAAATATCTCACAGCACGTTCCCATGAGCAGGACTGACATTAGCCCTTGTGTTGTGTCTGAGCCCTAGTTTCAGCTAACAAAGTTGGAAACAAGGAAAGTTTAATTTTACCAAGTTTTAGTTCACTTCCTGTCCCACACTACTACTTAACAAATGCATCACCAAAAACGTGACCAATTTTTAAATGAAGTGATGCCGACACACATGCCATAAAACGCTTTGCAACTTCATTTTCCATAGCATACATGACATTTATTCTAGGAAAAGTCTGCGTATCATCATTTTTTGTAATATGAAATACCCAACTTCTAATATAAAGCAATTTCCCCCCAACTTCTCTCCACACTACACTTATAATTCAATCACCCACTATTTCAATTGAAGTTTTCCAAGCTAAGAATCTGCCTTAAGAACTTCAGCCATCTGCAGCAACGAGGAAGTAGAAAATCCGCATAGAAGCTTTACTGGCATTAAAATGTGTCAGTCTTTCAACGGGCAAGGTGCAAAAACTAGCTATTTTGAGCAAAATGCAACCAAACTTGAAGTTCTTTTGTCAACTATGAGACAACACAATATGAAACTTTCTATACACAGAAATAACAAAAACTGCATTCTTTGCACACAGGTCTCTTCTGGAAATTTTAATTCCTTATTTCCATTTTCCAGTTAATTTTTCAAGTAGAAGTTACTGTAAAAAATGCTCTACATGAAGAATTAAACACTCAGGTTAGAAGCACGAGAATTAGCTCAAGTACATATTAGAGACACTGCAAATACATCATCTCTCTCACTCAGTGCTCAGGATTGGGCTTCTGAACTGAAGCCGCTGTGCAGCATATTATACTCTCACTATTCAAGGAAGAGGAATCCCGTAGGATGGTCTTTTCCACTTAGACAGCCAGGTTTTCTGTTGGTTTTGTCTTCAAATAACACAATAAACCTCAAATACTGTCTTGCCAATCTCAGTTGTCATTACAAAGACTCAAGTCAGATCAAGGGACATCAAATCTGAATACTTTATATATATACACACATATATACATGACAGATATATGATAGCGTTAATTCCTCCTTCTGATATCAAAAATTCGGTTTATATAACTTGCTTATCATGTGGGGCAGTGCCCAGTTCTCCAGGGTTAGATTCAGTAATTCTGCAACAGCATCTTCATTCAGGCCACGATCAATACCCATAAAATTGTTGCAGGACATCTCTAACAACCCTGTGTGGTTTGTACAGAAGTCACTAATTATTTCCTGCTTGATCTACATGCTTGAATATAACTCGTATCATCGCTTATTCCATAAATTGGGAATATTCTAAAGCATTCAGTCACAAGACATGTATTCTCATTCCAGAATCAGGTTTTTAAATAATGTTCAGGACAGCACAGAAAACGAAAACACAACTTTTAGCAACAACTAGGAGCACTTCCAGTGAAAAAGCCACTCCACAGCTACACCACAAGCCAAACTTGGTTTGTAACAAGAGACCTCTAAGAAACATCTGGGCTTCCTGCATGAAAGGAGTAAAGGACAGCACAGACTGGGATACAATACATGCTCAATGCCCATTATCCTGTGGTCAATAGTTCCTAGATAGAACTGCTTCAGGCTATGGATTAAATTCCTATGCTGTTTATCTATATAGCTATATAGACGTGTTAAAAAAATTAAATTAAAAGAGCAGTAGATGAACAGAGGCATTAAGAGGATCAAAATTGTTAGTCTTCATGAGCAGGTTTCAAACATGTTAATGGTATAAGCAAGACAGTTTTCCCTCTCCTCCTAAAAAAAGAGAAACCAAACTCACTTTTACAGACACAACAGTATAGAATACTTCATCATTAAAATCAAGATGAAAACCTTTCAGCTGGATAAGATGACCTGCTGCTATAGGGAGCCGCCAGTCTAGACCATAGATTTTTAACACAACTTCAAAGCAAAATTGCAAGATTTACCTTGAGAAAAATTCTATGAGAATTAACTCATGCAGAATACTTGGATTAAGTGTTCTTATACCTTGCAGGTAGATAAGCAGAACTTTGCATGAGAGAGATACCACACAACACACACTGCTGTGCAACAGTGTTTTAAACAAAAGAATTTAAAACAGCTTAAGAGATATAGAAGCTGATCAAACAGTACCAGTTTAGTAAGTAATAAGGCGTAGATCCAGCACGAAGAGAAGGCTAACACATTTATTGGAGAAAAAAAATTAAGTACAAGGATAAGCACTTTTTTCCTGGATAATCTTACAATGTAATTAATAGTAGAAAAGTGAATTAGATGCTAAAATCAATACAAGTCTTATTTTAATAAGGTGATTAACCAGCAGAAGAGGTGACATTCATGTCTCTAAACAGAGCGCATGCTTCTAAACGCACTATTAGGAGAAACAAATCCAAGGTCCTTAGATCTGGGATTCAAGGCCAGCGATCTACAAGAGTTCCCAGTGGCGCTGACAAAGGGGGACCTGCATGCCTCATTAGCAGCTTCATCTAACCATAAGGTTAGATTATTTCCAGTACAACCACGATTGTCAAGGATGAAACAAAACTCCCCCCGCAAAAAAAGCGTTTCTTGCAAGATCACAAATAAATTGCTGGAAAAACGTAATGCACCGACGACCTGCATTTTATCGAGAGAATGTAGTCTGTAAAGGCTGTCAATCTAAATGGCAGCAGCCAAATTTACAACAAAAACTCCAGTATCAAGTTGTACAACACAGCTATACAGTTGCAGAGATGCAGATGCTTACCTGGGGAGGGTAATTGCTTTCTGATGACCACCTTGAGGACTGATCATTGGGCTTGTCCACCAAGATATTCCTAAAAAATGAGAAGCCAGGAGTAATTTAAATAAACGCCACTTCGTATTTTACATCCCCAGTAAGACCTGTCACATATGCAAGATCAATAACATTCTCATGCAACTACCCAAATCACTAGGCAGAGACTAAGGTTCTCCCTCTCTTTTATTAGAAATTTTCTACGTTGCTATTTTACAGGACCCACCAAAATACGCCTCTAAGCCTTGTGGTTGTGAAATGGAGCTCCAAGTTGCGAAATAAGAAAATCCAAATTGTGAAACAAATGTGAAACAGATTAATTTACGTAGGCTCGAGTCCATGACGAAGCGGAAAAAACGGTCTCGTTCACCTCAACGGGGTAAGAAGTTTTCAATAAGGTTAAAATGAGCAGTAAAACAGTTAGCAGGCCAAAAACTATCCTTTACCAGACAGGCGATACTGGAACGCAGAGAGCGAGCTGCCAACCTCCTTAAGCTTTGCTGGACTGTGGAAGATGGCCATCTAACTCATGTCAAATTTTAACAAGTATTTTTCATATGAGCTAGAAACCTAGTAGAAGTTCAGCTCTTCAACCAGCAAAATTACCTCTGAGTTGCTTTCTTACAGTTTGGAATAGCACAGCACTTTGGCAACTAGCAGAAACTATCAGAAATTCAGAATAGGTTTTTGGCTGAAATGAAACAGATTCATCATGATAATCATATGAGGGATCTGCCTTCCTCTCTCCTATAACCATGCGGCTTAAAACTCACCTCCCAGATTACACTAGAACACTAAACAAACAAAAAAAAAATCCCTAAAATATATATAACTATTGGCAAGGTAACAATGCATCACCTGCTAGACAGGGCTCACAAGCTCTACCACATCCAGCTAAGGAACTCGCCAGCTCGTAAAACTTATGTAAAAAGAAAGCAGCAGTCATCCAAAAGGCTTATGCCATCTCCATCTGCTGTGTAGGAGGAAAAAGAACACGAGCATCTGGATTACTACAAAGGGCTGGAGGAAAAAGCACTCCTATAAAAGCTG